CACACAACCTTGTGGCCAGCCTCTCCGAACTTATTATTTCAACCAAGGAGACATGGCAGGCGAGATTAGAATGTGCCCGCAGGGTGGAGCAGGCATGGTCACGGAGCCCTAGGGTCATCATGGCTATCCCTGGGGACCCCACGCTTTGACCCACACCACTCGGGTGGACTTCATGCAAGCATCACATGATGCATCCAGGCAGACCCCATGCCCAGGCAACGTGCTCCTGCTGCCCCACCCTGGGTCCCCACCAGTACTGGCACAGGCCCCATGCTCTTGCCTGCCACTGCCACCCCTCCCCCGCTGCCACTTGCCCTGCCACTACTGCCGCCCTTCCCCTGCTTTTTCCCTACTTTCTGTCCCACATGCCCACCCACCTCTGCTGCTTCCCACCTTCCTCCTGCCGGGTCAGGCTGGCTCCATGACATGCTGTGCTGTCCTGGCCATGCAGCAGGGAACTGCGTGGTGCTGGCTTGGGTGGGCTGGCTCCAGGAGGACGAAGTTCCCAGCTGCATGGCCAGGACTGCACAGTGCGGCATGAAGCCAGCCTGGCTCAGGCCAGGCCCCATGGAGTGGGGTGATCACCCTCCCCTCCTCCACCCATTCTTATTTGAAACTCTCTTAGATGGAGGGAGAGCAGGGGAATAGCCCCATGGTTGCAAGGCCAGAAGTCTATGCTAGGCAGAAGCTTCTGGTTGGGGACTGGGGTGGGGCAGGGCTAGATCGGCTTTGCTCCTGTCGCCACTGGGTCCTGCTGCTGGCTTCTCCTGCTGCTGGTACTTCATCAGCTTTTACAGGTAGCCACTGGCAGGTAATTTTCTAAATTTTAGAGAGGCCCCATGGACTGGATAGAATGGCCTGGTGGGCCGGATCCAGCCTGTGGGCCGTACTTTGCCTGCATCTCATATAGAGTGTTACAGAAAATTAACTATTATTTATAACTTTTTAAAAAACAGATAATAGATCCTTTTGTTGAGGTGGAGATTATTGGATTACCTGTCGATTGTTGTAAAGACCAGACCAGGGTGGTGGATGATAATGGTAAGATAATACAATTTACTTCCTCTTCTCTTATAGTAAATTACTGAATAACTATCACATCATATTACATTATGGTACTTATAATCCTCTATAGCACATATTCTTCAAGTCTCTAGTATGCTTATAATATTCATCAATTACTTATTAACTGTATGAATAATTTATTACTTTATCCCTAATATAAAATGTCATCATATTTGCAGATTCTTAAAGAAACATCAGGGCAAAGTAGAGAATGATTTAGTATGTTGTGGTGAGAAGAGCTGATCTTGTAGACTGCATTTGATTGCATGGACTTTTTTTCTTATTTGATGTAGGCTCCTCATACAATTAAATAACTTTTAAGAAGTTGTTTTTAATAATTCTAGTAACGTCAGTATTCTATTGATTATTGGCCTGGTTATTGTTGATATGATTTGAACAGGATGTGTGAGGAACTTCTAGTGCTGAAGCTGTGTTTTAACCTAAATTTCTTAATATAATATGAAGTTCTTTGAGAAAAAAATAGCATATATGCTTAGGCAAGCTTGGTCAGCAAATGCGAAAGGGACCTGACTCCATTGTAGCCTAGACTACCACATAATACATTTATCACCCAGATAAACCAGTAAAGAGCTGGTTTGATTTAAGAACTTTTATACAGTCTAATAACTGTGCTGGAATCCAATTACAACACACTTGTCCCCTAGTAGGTCCATGGTGAGTCACCTTATAGTGATAGGGTAAAATTCCTGTGCTAGTTTTGTTTTTTGGGTTTTTTTTACTGTGACTGTAGCTTTTAATACCATTGACTATGAATTACTGACATCTTGTATAGAAGCAAAGGAACAGAGGGCCTGATTTTCAGTTAATTTGTGTATGCACAAAGGCAGGAATGGACTACAGCCAAGCTGGCTTTGAACTGCTCATGATTTGGGTCCCATGCAGGCTAGCCTTGTAGAGCTGCTCAGGAATTTTCCAGTGATTTCCCCCCCCCTTTTAGGGAACTAACTGCTGATTCATCAAAGCAAACTGTTGCATGAAAAAATGACCTGTTTCAACATTTTTTAACAGGGAGGTCCAGGAAGAAATTTGTGGTCAAGGGTGGGAGGAGAGAAGATAGGAAGAGGGAAAGTGGACCCTCAGAATAGCCCTTGGGGGAGAGTAGTCACTTGTTTTCCTTTCTAGGTATGTGCCCTGATTTCCTTCCCTGGCATGTATCCTGGCTAGCACAGAACTACTCTGTTAGTTATCTGCTCAACTGGCAGCTTCCAGAATTAGTAGTACCTGGCCCTCCCCCTCCAAAGCTTCATAAAGGGCCTGGGTTATAAATGCAGATTGTATAGTGATTTAGGGTGTATTGTCCTCTGCTTGATACATGTGCAATCCTCTTCAATATTCATTGGAATTTTCCTCTTCGGGACAGATTCTGCCATCCTGCTGAGTAGCCTCTTACTTTTCAGAGAGCTCTAATTTTAAAATATGTTGGTAAAAAATCCTCAAAGCAATTAAAATGGGACTGTTAACAAGGTAAGTTTTATGTAATGTGAGCCATGGTGGCAGGATCTAGGCCCTAATTAAGCATTTAACATGGTCAGAAGGAGCATGGTACAAATATTTAGCCCACAGTCCCTGGACAAGGAACCTAAACTATGGACTGGTCTCCACAGTGAAGAGGGAATAAAACTTGGATTAAGCATCAGCTCTTAATAAGAGTCCTGGGAAGAGAGTACCATAGAGTAGCAGTGCGCAATAAGTGACCTGAAGGTAGAATAATGCAAACTTTGACATCACCAAAGTTGCTGGTTGGTGGCAGGATACTCAAAACCAGCACCAAGAAATACAAAAAAGTGAAAACAAAGTTTGGGTCCACAGGCAGCTGTATCAATCTGAGACTCTTGGATTTTTAAACATCAATGATAAATACAACTGCAAAGCTTGATAGCACATGTGTGGCAGGGCAGCTTTGGTGCCTGCAGCTTTAAGGGCTTGAACAGACCAGCCTGCAGGCGACTGTAGTCTCAATTGGGGGGGTCACATGGCCATCAGGAGCACAGTGGAGCACACCCCAACAGAAAAGTGCAGGGTCAAGGCCCATTGAGTTGGGCCTGAAGCACGTCGATAGACATCTTGAGGCCCAAGGGGCATAAGGCCCAGAAGCTCCAGTGAGGGGGCAGAGTAGTGAACCCAGTGAGTGGGAAGAATAGTGGCCCCAGTGAGGGGGCAGAGTGAGAGCTGGCAGCCATGTAGAGTAGGGCCTTAAGGGGGTGGGACGACATCCTGCCTTAAGGGGGCCTGAAGGACTGCTCATAGGCTGACTGGAGTAGCTAGAGTGGAGGTCCCAGAGATGGGGCATAAGTGGAGGGCATGGGACATGGTATAAGGGAAGGTTCAGAGTTGCATATTACTCCCTTAGCATCAGGGCATTAAATGGGCAGGCTCCCACAACTTTCCATCTTCTTTTATACATCAAGGTGTGGCAGGAGAATCGGGGCAGACTGCCCTAGATAGGTGGGTGGGACGATGATTGGACTCAGCTTAGAGATGGCCTTCTGTCACAACATGAAACTATGTGGTTGGTTTTTTTGATGGATAACGTAACCTGGTATCTGGGGCTTTAAAATCCTGCTTCCTGGTAAAAGTTGTTAGAGTAAAGAGAACAAGACAGATCACTTGGTGGTGGAAAAGGGAGTGCAACATGAGAAAATGCTCTGCCTATGTCTCCTTTATATAGAAGTTCTTAGGTCATATCATACATGTATGCATGGTATATAAATGTAATAGGAAACAAAGTGAAAACTGTGCCTTGGACTTTCTGCCACCTCAACCCTTTTGGGAGATGAAGCTAGCAATGGGGTGGAACAATCTGTCAGTTCTCACAGATGACTCTGACCTATGGGGAAAAGAAGGGACAGCTTCTGTGCTTTTTGGTACATTTGTGCTTGACTTCCCATAGGTCTAGTAGCACATCTGCGTGCCTTGCCATGCTGCCATAGGCAGACCCTCAGCCTGCTGCCCAACTAATGCCCATTTTGTTGTTTTTAAAAATAAATAATCGAATAATAATTTAAAAAAATGCCTGGGAGAGAGAACCACTCATTTATTTCTGCATCTCGATCTTTTCATACAGCTGTATGGGTACATGTCACACTGCTACATCTTACATTGTAGTTCACACACACCACATAGAGTGATGATTCTCCAGAGCCCTCTGTCATCTGGACATATCATACTCCCTTCACATACACAGATCAGCTCCCACATGGTAGCCACAGTGCAGAGCTGCTTCTTTCAGGGCTTGTCCACACAGCAAAGGAAGCTGTTTCTCCAAATTTTCTTTAAGTCCCTCAAATGCCTGTGTTAAGAAATGGATCGAAGGAAGGCACTCCCTTTGATACTGATGAGATTGGGCAATATTGTGGGGTTATCCCTTCCATTCCTTCCAAAATCACTTTTGGAGCACCCATATTGCAACTACTTTTCCTGTGGCAGTGTACATCCAAATCAATTCTACTCTAAGCCCTGAGAAGAATAATGGGGAGGTGTTCTGAGCACAACTGCTCCTCTAACTTTATTTTAACTTCCAAGTATACTCTGCTCAAAGGATGGATGATGAGGGCTGCAGAACTGATAAGTATCAGACATACCAAACTCTCCTGCAGCTTCTTTGTTCGCTTGCCTAATAGTATCTGTGACCATCTAGATCTCAGTGGGTACTTCTACAATTTCATTAATGCACAGTAGTTAACACACATTTAGGTTAGTACTTGCCTAATGAAGCATTAACTAAAGGTGCAGTAACTACAGTTACTGTGCAGTAGCACCGGCACATGCTTTTTTTGTGATGCTTACTGCACGGTAGCCTAATAACACTATGCAGTAGAGTGCCAGACAGAAACGGTGCTAATATGCTACTGCACAGTGTTATTAAGCTACTGTGCAATAAGCGTCTCATGTAGATGCGCCCATTGGCGATGAGAAATAATATCTGATCTAGTTCTGTTCCACAAATGTCTTTTTCAATCCCCCCCCACCCCCTGCTCTTTTTGTCATCCCCCTGCTGATTTTCTGCTTTGTTCGTTTCATAGGATTTAACCCTGTTTGGGAAGAAACACTTACTTTTACTATCCACATGCCTGAAATAGCTTTGGTTAGATTTCTTGTTTGGGACCATGATCCTATTGGTCGAGACTTTGTTGGACAAAGAACTGTGGCCTTCAGCAGTCTTGTGCCTGGTAAGTTCCTTCTTTGAAGACTGGGACTAATTACCACAGAGTTCCTTTGTGACCCAGGGCAAATAATCGACTATCCTAGGGTGGAATTCCCTAAGCTACCTTAGGGATTTGGATCCTACTTCATGTTGGCATTAGAAAGTCTTCCGCTCATTCTGGCTCCTCCATCTGTAATATGGAGTCAATAAATACCTTTATCCCACAGCTGTCCAAGTGGTGGCCTGCCATCTGCATGTGGTTGCTGCTGTCCCAGTTGTTTCAGCTGCAGCAACAGCCAGAGTCTTGATACTTTCCTTCCCTCCCCACAGTTTCTGCTGCATGCCCCAGAGGGTGGTGCAGTGCAGTGCAGTGCAGCTCATGGTGCTGAGGGATCTGGCAGCCTGAATTGCCTATGTGCCAAAGGGGAGCAGCTGAAGGTGAGGTGGAATGCTGCTTCATACAAGGAGCACCCGCCCACGTGTACATGCAGTACAGTGGGGTGCGGGGCACCTGCCTGTACATGCCTACACATGGGGCATGCAGCCTGGGGGACCTGTGGCCCCTGCTACTACTTCCTTTATGGCGTGCAGCCCCTGCTGATGTAGTCCATGAGGCACATGTCCTCTGGCCACTTTCATGTTGGACAGCCCTGCTCTATGCCATGCTAGGAGATTGTGAGACTAAACTCCTTGTGAAGATCTTTGAGAAACTCACCTCAAAGGTGACAGAGGAAACAGTCTTAATAATGTGCAGGATTGTTCAGTGTGTTTATAAAGTATAAAGGCAAAAGACTTTTTATGGGGCAACTGTTAATAATTGTACATAAAGGACATGTTTTTGATTCTTTGACACATTCTTTTTTATATTACTAGGCTATCGTCATGTATATTTAGAAGGACTGACAGAAGCATCCATATTTGTTCATATAACAATCAATGAAATCTATGGAAAGGTAGGTATATTTATCTACCTTTACAGATCCTTTACTGAGGTTTACAGATGTTGCTGGTTAGTGTTTTGTTATCAGAAATACAAAGAGGCAGTGATACAGCCTCATAGAAGCAATGTGGGCTCCGACTGATTCCTAAAATTTAAGAATGTAGCTTTTTTCATACTGGGTCAGAGCAATGGTTTATTAAACAGCGTACCCTGCCTTTATCAGTCATTAATTATGTAACGCTTCTGAGAAAAGTAAAGTTTTTATAACTTCAAACCTCACTCCATTCCACAAATTAAAGAAGACAAAACCCCCAGTTTTCCAGTAGAGCAAACCTTGTGTCATAATTTACACTAATGCAAAGTTTAGCTAGTTACTGTTCTGATTTAGAGCATGTCAACAGTGATAGCTGTCTGTGCACTCTGGCATGCAGGCTCTGAGCTTGAGGCAGGAAAAATGTCCTTCGCTCATCCACACTGATTTATCTGAAAAACCTCCTCCTTCCAGTTTTGCCTCTGTGATCTACCAAACACTGCAGAACCTACCCTTTGAGGTTCATATATCTAGAAGAAGAATATTTATAAACTGGTGAAGTGAGTGCTGTTTAGCTGATAGTTACACACTGTCTTCCTCTAAAACTACCACATGAGATGGGAAACTAAACTGAATGGTTTGAACTTTGCCAGTGAATGCTCAATAGGACTTTTGCCAAAAACTGCAGCTGCCCACCCACCATGGGACAGCTTCTCAGCAAAGGGCCTTTTAATGATAGAAATAAGGAGCCATATATTTTGCAAACAAAGTCACTGCCCCATTTTAGATGAGTGATCTGTGCACTGTGTTTATTCAAATCATGACAATACGTTAAGCAAAATACATTTTTGATCTTAGCTCCTGAGGGGGCATGTAAGGATATTTAAATTTGATAAGGCAACACTATGAAACATTTATTACTTGGTTTTTGCATATGCTGTATTTTTCTCAGCTCAGCAGCCATGTTGGGATCCCCCCTACAAGAATAGAATCATACAGTGATAGGCTCAGTGCTGAAACACTGGTAGATGCTTTGTCAAGCTCATCAAGAGCTCAAAGCTCTGCTTTGTTTCCTTTGTCTCTTGGAACAGCTGCTTGGGTTGTGACCTAGATTTGGGGATGGCCAGATGACAAAGCTAACTCATATGGCATTGTAATAGTGAATAGTCTTACTACTGCCACCAAAATCATGGTGCTCGGAGTATTCTATCCAGATAGTAACCAAGATGCAGATGTGCTCCACTGAGCAGCTAGCTGCATGTCAGAAATACGTCTGTGGCTTTGCACCCGAGGGATTGGCTGGCAGTCTGAAGCTGAAAAATGTGCTGGTAGTCGGGAGCAGTCGATGGGGAAAATGAAAGGGTTAAATGCAGAAGTTTAAAGTGTTAAAGTTATAAAGTGCCATCCAGCCTCCAGGGAGTAGAGGGTGGAGGAGGAAGCATGCAGAAGGACTGGATGACATAAAAACAGGGAATTGCAGTGTACTGCAACCACACTGCAAATTGGTTGAGCAGAGAAGTGAGTAGCAGCAGAGGCAGAATCTTTCGAGAGCCTCCAGGCTTGGCCTCTACTTATCTTGTGAAATGAGTATAGTGACTTGTAGTGAGGATGACCTAGTGCTATTGGAAGAACATAATCTGAATTTTGCAATGCAATCCTACCCTTAGTAGCATATTTCACACCCTTTCCCTTTGTGCAGGGAAATAAAATATAAGGCCTGTTGATATAATTTTTTCCTTCTAACTCTAGTAGTTTTCCTTCTTACCCTATCAGGCTGCCCCAGAAAGCATAAGATTTCATTACCATAATCTTAAAATGAACAAATGTGAATGGTTTTACTGTTGTCACCTAACTGCCATTTCTCATGTAGCCCTAACAGCCATTTCTCATGCGAATGCAGTTAAGTACATACCCATAGGTTCAGTTTAACTTCATTTTTTTTAATAGTCATTGTCAGGAATTACGAACCCTTCCAAGCCCTTGGATATGGGAAAAGTGATTTTTGAAACTTGAGGCTCAGTTCTGAATCCTATGAGTTTTAGTGTGTGTAGTTATTTTATTTTTCTGCTATATTTTAAAAGAAGAAATGTTTTGGAACTTCATGGCTTTTTTTTTTAATAAAAAGCAAAAGCACAGTGCACTACCCTTATAAGTTCTGTTTTATTTGCCTTTATTAAAAGTTTTTAAAGAGGCTTATGAGGAAGTGAAGACAGACAAACAGGCATGTACAGCATGGAGAAGATAACTAAAATAGAGTAGACTGCCAAAGACAGACATAGTGTTTAAAAAGTAGGGTAGATTTATTTTTTTCAAGGCAATTAAAAGAAGAGTTGTTAGCCCCCAGACTTCCTTCTCTGATCAAGAAGATTTATGAACATTAGCATCAATGGAAAATTGTGGGTTGAAAGTAAGTAAGGACATGATCTAGGTCAGCAGCTTCTGGTCCAATTCAGTTATGATGGACTATTGCAAGAATTTCATGAACATCCCAGACTAATAGAATCTCCTGGATGTGCCAGCCCAGATCTAAGTATACAATGATTTGCCTCACAACTGGCCCCCTATCTCATCAGAGAGACCAGTGATTGAAGTTATAGTGCAAATATCCGTAGCAGTTCCATTCCAAATCCAAGTTTCAAGACTCCTCAAATGCCATGCCTTAAACTAGCTGAGAGACCATTAGCTGCCACAAAAGTGACCATAGACCCTACCAGCCCCATATGTAACCTGAGCCTCAGCTTGGGAAGCCCCACAATCCCAGGTGCTTATCCTAGTTTGGGGAGCCCTACCTGCAGAAACCATAGACATACCCTAAAGCTGGCACAATCTCTAACCCTAACTCTAGCTCAAGGTGCTCAAGGAGCTCCATGGTTTGCCTCAACTAGAAAACAGCTCATTCCAAACATGACAACCCATAGCTTCCTGAGCCCTCAAATCCCATCGTTAAGCCTAGCTTGGAGATCTGTAGCTACTACAAACAGCACCCCATTATAGATTCCAAAAGAGGAGCTCTTCCTTGGACTCTGCTAGCTTTATCACAAACTATTTGCATATCTTCTGAAATCAGGTGTACTTTGACTTCTTAAAGATGTACATCTTCCTGAAGCCTGAATGCCCCTTTCCAAGACCTGGGCCAGAAGGTAGCATTCTGAGTGGGGTAGCTATAGGTAACCACAGGGGCAGGGAGTGAAGACCATGCCTCAGAATCCAAAGAGCCAGGGGCTTACCCCTTCTAAAGTGGCATTGATGCTAAGAAGTCTGAGTACATTCAAACCTAAACCTAGCTGGATGATCCCTAATTTTAACAACCCTCACCATAGCAAGAAGAATCCTACTAGTTCCCATCCTAACCCCATGGCTAGGAGTCCTATGATCTGTAACCCTGATGCTGTCTTGGGGAGCCCCAGAAGCCTTTAGAGCCCCACTGATCTGAGTATTAATCCTAGTTTGGAGACACCTGCCAGTCCAAAGCTAAACCTAGGCTAATGTCTACCCATAACCTGAACCCTAGCATGGTGTGCTCAAGGAGCTCTGTATCTACCACCATCCAGGTGGCAGCTAGAAACTCTCTAGTAGTTTACAAACACTAGATTCAAGAGCCCTTAAACATCCTCCTGAAGCCTAGCTGGGGGACTGATAGCTCCCACAATTCTGACCATAGCAAGGAGAGCCCTACTGACCCCATGCCTAACCCTACAGCTGGGAGTCCTATCATCCCTATGCTTAACCTTAGTTTGGGGGACTCATAATTCACCTTGTCTATCAGAAGTCTTTGTAGCCCCACTAACCCAAGCGTTAATCCTAGTTTTGGGAGGAAGGCCAGTCCACACCATAAGCATACAATAACACCTCATCCCATCTTTAACTGTAGATGTAACCCCCAACCTTAAACCCAGTTTAGGGTGCTCAAGGAGCCCTATACCTGTCCTCAATGCAGAAATCCCTAGTAACCCCCATTACAAACCCTAATTCAAGAGCCCTCAAACACTACCCCTATTCCTACCTGCCAGAACCCTCGCCCTAATAAGAGGAATTCCCCCAGGTCCCAATCCTAACTCTTTGGTAGGAAATGCTACCACCCCCAACCCTAACCCTGGCCTGTGGAGTCCCAGGATCTTTTAGAACCCACCTACCAGGATCTTTTGAATTCTCAGTGACCCAAACACTAACCTTAGTTTGGGGAGTCAGGCCAGCCCAAGCCATAGATATACCTTTAACACTAGCTCAATTTCATACCCTCACCCTGACTCTAACCTAGCTCAGGGTGCACAAGGAGCGCCATACCTTAAACAAACCAGGAGACAACTAGCACCCTTATAGAAGCTAGTTTGGAGAACATGAAAACCCTATCCCTAAGCTTAACTGTGGAATCCCTAGTTGCCACAACCCTCATTTTAGTATGAAGAACCCTGTTATGTCAAGTCTAAGCCTAAATTGGGGAATCCCAGCATCCTTAGATCTCCTACTAGTGGACTGTGAAGCCATATGAGCCTGTGCTGTAATCCTAATTGGCAGATCATAATAAGCCCAGAGTACAAGCACATTTCTTGCCTATCCCAAACTCTAACCCAGAGCTTTCCAAACTTTTCATGTTGGTGACACACTTTTTAGACATGCATCATTTCGCGACACAGTAATTCAGTTCCGGGGGAGTGGCCAAGGGAAGCAGACGTGAGTAAGGGAGCTCCGCAGTGCCCTTCTGCAAAATTTTCTGCATTTTGCGCGACACACCTACACGCTGCCGCCGACACACTAATGTGTCACGGCACACAGTTTGGAAAGCTCTGCTCTAACCCTAACACCAACATTAACCTTAGCCCTAGCTGAAGGCACTCAAGGAGCCCCAAATCTCTGGATGTATTCTTTCAATAAAGGGAGCTGGCGAGGCACTCCTGAGAAACTTGCATTGACACTTCCTGTGCTGTATCTGTGATGTAGATAGGGAGGTGTTTAGTATCGAAAGCTATCAATCTGGTATCATTCACCAGTACTAAGTGCATTTTAGAAGAAAAGAAAAATATCTTAAACAAATTTGCAGTAGATCCTAGGGCCTTCCTGCTTTTGGCAATCCATAATTTGACAGTTGCACACGTATGGAGCCACATTCTTACCCCATCAGAATTCAGCCTACTTTGCATAGAGTCAGACTGCAAACTGCTTAAGTGTCAAAATGTAGACACCTAGGACAGAATCCTGTTACATTTTACATACCCAAGTGACAATTAGTTGCATAACTGTCATTTTTAGTACATGTACAGTAGCTGTTACTCTGGCTGGGCAGATATGCATCTTTGTACATGCCTGCACTGGATGAGTTTAAATCACAAAATGTATAGTCAAAACTTGTTCCTGTGCAGGCCGGGAGCGACCCGAGCCCTTTTCCGTGCTGCACGCGGGCTGTGGCCAGCAGCCCGGGCACGCCGGGTTGGAGAGGGAAGGCTGTCGAGCTGGAATTAGGCACAAACGCTTAGCGGTAGTTTTGAAGATTGTTTACTTACACCGAGATGGCAGTGGTGCAGGCTGGAAAACTTGCTTGAGTTGCGGTTACAGGCAGACCAAACAGACGGTCTCTGGGGGGG